AAAAATGCGGTCTGCCTTCTGGCGCATGGTCTAACAGTGTTGTGCTTATTCTCTTAATGAGTTATGGGTGTGTTTTGAGCATTATGTGCATTAAACCAATCAGTTTTAATCTGACTTTTATCTCTCATTCCCTTTAAAAGTCAGCTGTGTCGCGCCATAGCGCATTTGCTATTTACATGGTAGACTTTGTAAGTGGATGTAAACTGAATGCTTCACTAGCGAGAAAACAGCTAAGCAGACCATCTGCAGTGCAAGAATAAGGAATGAGCCTCCTCCACTCGGCCTCTTTACTTTTACTCTGAACTCCTTTTTTTTCATGGATAAGAAAACTGTGTTGTATGCACTCCACTGAAGACATCAATTAGCCTACATAATTTCGTTTGTCAAGTGCAAAGATTTGTTTCAAAACTATTTCTAAATTCAGTCTTAATTTCCATAAAAACAATAATTGAACAATAATAACGAAGTGTGGTAAATTTAAAAAAATTTTAAAAGTTATATCCAAACACATGTTCTATACTTATGTCCCAGATGGTGATGCTTTCGTCTCCAAACCTGACAGGTGGACAAATCTAAATTTGTTTTCATGAAAACAAATACAAATATGCAAATAATAAATAATACTGCTAATAATAATAATGACATTATACAAATGCAAATTGTCATAAATAAACTGAAAAAGCCCCCCGAGATGAGGCATGGAGGTAGTGTTTTTTTTATATTTTGTAGAAAATTATATTTTGTTACATTTTAATCCTTAATTTTTTGCCATATTGTAAAGATATTTGTGTATTGCAGTCCATCCTGTGTATATCAAGAAATGTGTACGCGTCTGAACCCATATAGGTGCATAACTAACACGTTCTGTGCTGGACCTTAAACATGCTTTTATTGGGGCAATGGCGCAGTATACTTCAGTGCTTCAAAATAGCAATGCCCTAAAAATGCGCCTTAACACACCTCTATTTTAGACCGGCACACTCATGAGTCCACAAAGTGGTACAAATGGATTTGGCATTTAAACAACGGGGTGAAAAAGGAAAATTAGGGTTGCGCTGGTCTCAAAATAGCAACAAATCAAACCACACATGTCTCATGCCTTATTGCGCCGGGTGTATGATAGGGCCCAAAGGGTCAGATCAGGCATTGATTGGGGGGGCTCAAACCCACCTGTAATTTGCACCTTGCATTAGATGCTTCAAAACATTTTGGACCGTTGAGTTTTTTTACTGTACTGGCACATGATATGTCCAAGACAGGAACAGAAACTGAAAAGAATTCCAAGCCATAGCCATTTTAATATTACTTTTACCATTTACTGAGTCTTCGTGTTTATGACTGGAGTGTTACACAATGTGAAGCAGCTGTTGTGCTGAGGCCAGACTTGCATATCAGTGTCACGAGCCACATTGCACAGACGGTTAAGACAAAAACATTTTACAATGTGCTTTGAGATTTGTGTTTGTTCCATTTCATTGCACTTGACTAGGTGTTATTGAATTTAAACATGTCTTATCTACTGTCCTCCACATACGGGATTATGCTGTAGTGTGTGAATACTAATTGGGTCATGAAAGTGTTGTCTGGTAAAATACAGAGAGTATCTATTTGAAGATTCATTAATGAATATGCATGAACCAGGCCTGGACAAGCTAACATGCTTCTTTAAGGTAAAAATTCTTAGCTACTAAGCAAACGCCACAATGTGTGTGTGTGTGTGTGTGTGTGTGTGTGTGTGTGTGTGTGTGTGTGTGCGCATGTATTACATACTATAACTCTTTTGCAAAGTCAGATTTTAATAACTAAAAAAAAAAAAACTTTATATACACAATGTCAAATGTTTTAGATAATGTATAATTGCCATTTATTCTTTCATACACAATTTTTAAAATAATTATTATGGTTATTTTTATAAATATAAAGTAATAAGGCTGCAACTACAAATCGACTAAATTGATAAAAATCGATTACTGAAACAGTTGGCAACGAATTTCATAATCGATTTGATGCATCACGTAACGTGGGGATGTTTGATTATTAAAAAAACTTAAGTTGAGCGTGTAGCAGAGTGAAAGCACTCGGTCTCTCTTAAACACTGATGCTAGCAGTGTTTGGTGCCACATAGACAGGGTTGAGAAGGAAGGGAGTTCAACAGCAGGGTAAATCGCTGCAGAATCCTACTTTTGTTCAGTTTTGAAGTGAGGAATGTATTGTCCCTGGTCCTGGTGTTTCGTTATCCAGCTTGACAAGCCTGACAGTGTTAGTGGAGTGTTAGCTCCTTAACACTTAGAGCGGTGGAGTAACCCTTAGAACGGCTACTGAAAAATTCAAACTGAGCTTTGGCATGTTGGATGGCACTGAGCCAGAGAAAGACTTGCCATATCACAATTATGCAGTTTTTTAAACCACCTAATGCTTATATTTTGTTTTAGAGAGTAAATACACACAAGTACTAGTAAAACACCACGTTTCAAGTTTTTAAAACACACAAGAAAGTCTATGGAAGTCAAACAATCCATTCAAATACAATTTGCTGATGTGTTTTATTCATTTCAGATACACGTAGTTAAAGTAACTATAAAAGTCAATCTACTCTTTTCCAAGTTCACCAGCCACTTGCAGGCATTTTGGGAGTAATTGGTAAATTTACGTGCTGAATACTGCTTGTTCTGCTTTTATGAATGAGGCTTACGCACGGCTACAAGTAAACATGGCGAAGCTTATTTAACGTTATAGATCACGATCAAGGTTATTTATACCATCTTTTAAACAACACAAAACCCTCACTTGCACGATTATGTGAATTGGAATATCAGGTAGTTGATGACACGATGAGCAAGCGTGTGAATGTTGAATAAAAAGGAAAAAAATAAAAGCGATACATCTGTCATTCAGTGCTCTTGTGGCTGTGGTGTGTCATGTGACAAATGTAACTAGTCATCATTGAAATATTTAGGCTGAACGTTCTAAAATAATGGTAGTCAAAAATAATAATAATAATATTAAAATAAAAAAATTTAATAAAAATCACTCCCAGGGGGCAGATGGAATATTTCTGAAATTTGTTAACAGTAGTAAAGCAGCGGTGGTATAGTTACTTTGCATTGCAAGACCAAAGACATGTTTTTACTCAGTCTTTTTTGTCTATTTTCACATGTGTCTTCTTTGTCTTTTTTGGATCATTCATTTTTCCATCGGTTATCATGTATAGCTACACTGCAGAAAAGTTCTTTCTTAGTCATTTTGTCTCATTTCCAGTCCAAATATATAAAACTCTTAAATCAAGATTACTAGACAAGAAAAAAGGTTTGAGAAAATTAAGTGACGCTTAAAACTTCTGTTTGTGATTATATATCATTAAGATGATTTTTCTTACCCCAATTTAACCCCATATACCACCAGCATTTTTGCTTGTTTTAAGCCAATCACTTAATTGTGCTGTATTTTCAGAAAACAAGACAATTTCTTATGCTACTTAATTTGTCTAGTATGCATCTTCATTTAAGATTTTTTATATATATATATATTTGGATTAAAAACAGGACAACACTACTTAGTTTTTTTTTTTATATATATATATATATATATATATATATATATATATATATATATATATATATATATATATATATATTTATAACACCTCAGGGATGTTTAAGGAGCAACATGTTTGTGCAATTTCTAAAGATTATAGTTCTGTTTTTGAATAAAGGGTTGGAAATTAATACTTTTCTTGTTTTTTTGTTTTTAAATCCAATTCATTGATTAATTAAAAAAAATATTAGAAAGCTTTAAAATAATCGTTAGTTGCGGCCATATAAAGTAACAATGAAAAACTAATTTAAAATATTTTTATTAATTTCTTCCTGTAGTGGCAAAGCTGAATTTCCAGCATTTATACTCTTTTCATATCACGTAAGAATTGATTTATCAGTAGTACACTGATATGCTGCTCATGTAAATGCATTGTGATTATCATCAAACTTGAAAATAGTTACTATGCTAAATTAAAAACAAATGAAAAACTAATTTAATTTAATTTATTTATAATTTAAGTTTTTATACACTACTCATCAAAAGATATGAATTATTTATTATTTGTTTTTGGAAAGCTCATAAAAACACAGATATAAGCTCAAATTATTCAACATTACAATTTTAAAATAATCGTTTTTATATTAATATGAAGTCCTGTCATACCGAAGCAGAATTTCTCATATCATTACTCATTTTCAGAGCCAATTTACTGCTAAAAAACATTTCTTGCAAATATTTTTCTAAAAGAAAGACTCATAATTGAATGTAGATGAAAACAAAAACAAATTCAAACTTTTCATTTATTAATAATCCTCCTAATATGAATTAATTAGATATTCTTAGTCACAAAACAAAAGTTTAGTCTGCTATAAACATCACTTCAGCCACTATATATATATATAGAGAGAGAGAGAGAGAGACCAAAGCTCCACCATTTGTTTCCCTAATATAAAATAGCATCCTTATGTTCTGGCAGAACTACAGTATGACAGCCATACAGATGGTGATGTCCGTGCGCATATGGCCAGTATGAAACACTAGTATTTGAGCTCAGAGACAGCACTGGCAGACACAGAGCGGTTTATAGCAGTAAAGGGACTTGGCAGCGCATTACTCTGTGATTCACAGGAGTTGGTCCCTTTTCCCCAGCAGAGGACTCTAATGCAGCCCAGCGCTTTAATAACCGCAGCCCAATGCAGCACTGCCGCGTCCCCTTCAACGCAAGGTCATCCACAGAGGAATTTGAGAGGAGAACGGGATGACGTTTTGAGTCTTAATGGATTAATGCTGTGTGATATCAAACCGCACTTTGACCTTGATCGCGTACGACATACAGAAGACTATAAATAAATACTTAAGCGTTTAAATGATTGAAAGCAGTGGCATGCATGTTTCTGCATACTCATTGAAGCTAACTCCTGAATAAAGGACAAATGCAGTGTGACCGAAAGAGCTGAACAAACCTGATCTTGAGTTCTGTGCGCGTGCTCAGGTTGGTGGAGAGCTGCTGGATGAGGGACAGAAGGACGGCCTGGTGGAGTGGACAGGGCTGCTGGCCGAACACTTGTTGGGAGTCGATGGTCTCGCACACGTACAGGACCAGATTCAGGTCTGCTGCGGATAAAGCCTGTCGAGAAAAAAAAATCAACAGAGCAGTTAGAAAAAACACATATCAGTTATGTCTTGGGTCCTGTTCGCACCTGGATGTGTTTTCATCGATCCAATAACAAGTGGACAAAGGAGACATGTTACAGATCACACCTAGTGTTTAAATGGGTCTTTTTTTGGCCACTTTTGACTTTTTATGAGAGCATTATATTATATTTCTAATAATGTGAAAACGTACCAGATCAATGAATGACACTTTATGAATGAGCTACTTTACGTATTGACTAATGAAATTACAGATCATTTATTTTATTTCCTATTAGACCGACACAATTCCTTTTATTTTACAGGTTTAAGGTTTATATACATGTTTGTTTTTAATGAAATCCTCTTAACAAATATTTTAGAATATATTTAAATCATTGTGCAAAGAATTAGGAATTGTACATGTGAAAGACAGATCATCCAACACATGCAACATACACAACGTTTAAAGACTATACCTATAAAATAAAACATTCACAAAACTGTTTCTGAAAACTTTTTATTAAGCGGCTGTTCGATTAACGACATGTGCGTTCGCACTACCAGAGTAATATGCTCAAATGCATTGAAGTCTGAATGTGGTCAAAAGTGAACAAGCTCAAAACAATTCATACTTATACACTTAGTGTTGTGACTGGATAGACAACGCATCTTAATAGCATGCTGCAAATTACACTCACCGGCCACTTTATTAGGTACACCTTCCTAGTACTGTGTTGGGCCCACTTTTGCCTTCAGAACTACCTTAAACCTTTGTGGTTTAAATTCAACAAGGCACTGGAAATTATCCTCAGAGATTTAGGTCCATGTTGACATGAAAGCATCACGCAGTTGCTGCAGATTTGTCAGCTGCACATCCATGATACGAATCTCCTGTTTCACCACATCTTGAAGGAGCTCTAATGGATTGAGGATCTGGTGACTGTGAAGGCCATTTGAGTACAGTAAACTCAATGTCATGTTCAAGAAAGCAGTCTGAGATGATTTGCACTTTATGTCATGGCGCATTATCCAGCTGGAAGTAGCCATCAGTAGATGGCCACGCTGTGGTCATAAAGGGATGGAGGACATGGTCAGGAACTATACTCAAGTACATTGTAGCGTAGACATGATGCTCAATTGGTACTAATGAGCCCAAAGTGTGCCAAGAAAATATCCTCTCCACACTATTACACCACCACCACCAGCCTGAACCATTGATACAAGGCAGGAAGGATCCATGCTTCCATGTTGCTGATGCCAAATTCTGACCCTACCATCTAAATGTCACAGCTAGAGACTCACAAAATAGAGACTTATCAGATTAGGCACTGTTCTGCTGCTGTAGTCCATCTGCCTCAAGTTTTGACATGTTGTGCGTTTAGATGCTCTTCTACCTTGGTTGTAACAAGTGGTTATTTAAGTTACTGTTGCCTTTCTATCAGCTGGAACCAGTCTGCCCATTCTCCTCTGACATCAACAAGGCATTTGTGCCCACAGAACTGCCACTTACTGGACATTTTATCTTTTTCTGACCATTCTCTGTAAACCCTAGAAATGGTTGTGCGTAGGGCTGTGCAATTAATCGAAAATCCAATTTCGATTTTGGCTTCTAACGATTATGAAAAACCGTTAATCGAGATTATCGATTATTGCATAATTTACCGCCTTCTTTCCAGTTGTACAGGTGTTGCTCTTAAAAGCGCAAAAGACCGCATGATTCTGTGTGCCGCGCACACACAGTACAGAAGCATGCAGTCAGCATTCGGTCTCACTCGCACACCGAGACAAGGAGTGCGCACACATCTTAAGTCATCTTAACGTGATCGCTTTAATGGTCAAATAGGTGTCAAAACGCTGTGTTTAGTGATTATTCATACAAACCCTCATTTGTGTAATAAACAAACGAGTTGAGAATCAAAGGACATGCGAAAGAGAAACTATTAAAGAGACAGTGCGCGATAATCCTGCTGCCGCCTGTTTTTATGATTATTAATCATACAGCAAATGGAGAACACTCTGCTCTTGACTAAAGTACTTTTGTAGCTAAAATGTTTTTCTTACAGTGAATATGCTTAAAGCAGTTTGTTTTATATTTTTATTCTATTGTATTTATTTCTCTTTCCTTTGTAGGGTGGAAAACAACTGTATATGTACAGTTCAAATCAGAATTATTAGCCCTCCTGAATATTAGCAACCCTTTCCCCCCCAATTTCTGTTTAATGGAAAGAAGATTTCTGAACATAATAGTTTTAACTCATTTCTAATAACTGATTTATTTTATCTTTGTCGATGACATCACATAATATTTGACTAGATATTTTTCAAAATGCATGCATTCAGATTCAAAGTGCGATTTAAAGGCTTAATTAGTGTAATTAGGCAGGTCATTATATAACAGTAGTTTCTTCTGAAGACAATCAAAAAATATATTGCTTAAGGGGGCTAATAATATAGACTTTAAAATGGGTTTCAAAATATTTAAACCTGCTTTTATTCCAGCCAAAATAAAAATAAAAATAGCCTTTCTCCAGAAGAAAAAATGTTAGAGGAAATACTGTTAAATTCCTTGCTCTGTTAAACATCATTTGGGAAATATTTATTTTAAAAAAATTCTCAGGAGCGCTAATAATTTTGACTTTAACAGTAATCATTTTGAATAATCGTGATTACAATTACGACCAAAATAATTGTGACTATGATTTTTCCCAAATTCGAGCAGCCCTAGTTGTGCGTGAAAATCCCAGTAGATAAGCAGTTTTGGAAATACTCAGACCAGTCAGTCTAGCACCAACAGCCATGTCACGTTCATAGTCACTTAAATCACCTTTCTTCCCCATTCTGATGCTCGGTTCGAACTGCAGCAGATCGTCTTGACCATGTCTACATGCCTAAATGCATTGAGATGATGTCATGTGATTGGCTGATCAGAAATTTGCATAACGAGCAGTTGGACAGTTGAAGCAGTGTACCTAATAAAGTGGTCAGTAAGTGTATGTGCAAATGCACAGTTTTATACAGAATACATGATGTGACATTGTGTAATAATAATTGGGCAGCATAAAAAGATTAAGTTCTTAATGAACTGATGATGAAATTCACATCATCCATAGCAATTATCCAAACACCAGCATTTGCCTTAACGGAATTATATTCCTATAAAGGCTTGAATGCATTAACAGTAAGGGTCATTTTTTAAGACTAATTAGAATGATTCACTGCTAAATCGCATAATGACAAAGACTGAAAACTGGTGTAATAATTTTTCAGATTATGAATGCAAATCAAGTGTATATCCAATAACAGTTACTGCAGTCTGACTGTCAGCACTTCACTTAAAGGGATAGTTTATCCAAAAATGAAAAATGTCCTTTACTCATCCTCCACCTGTTACAAACCTGTTTGAGCTGCTTCTGTGGAACACAAATGATATTTTGAAGAATGCTGGAAACCAGTAGCTACTTAATTTCTTCCTTTTTACATGCTAATCATTTTCAACATTCTTCAAAATATTGTTTATTAAAATTTCTTTCATATATTTGAATCCACTGGAGTGTGAATAATTTTTATATTTTGGAGAACTATCCCTTTAAGATGTTTCCTCTCAAACACTACAATTGCAGGCTTAGTGATTCATACTGCTTAAACAAAACTCCTCTGAAGATAAACCATAGATATTACTGATTCCTCAGAGAGCCAAAAGTCTTTGTTTTCGAAAAAGTTCTCTCCAAAGAAAGTTTTGTGGATGTTTTTATAAATGCTGACATTTCACAAAAAGTAAACTGTTTGCAGCAACATACAGCTTTAATGCAGTGGTTTTAATCTTTTTGCCAAGTTATTTCCTCTGGTATTTATGCAGTATTTACCACCCAGTATGTTTCCAGAAACCAGTACTTAATATTTTTTATAGAAAATTTAATATATGTTAATGTAAACAATGCAGACTGCTAGTAAAATAATAGTTATAAAGAGGAAATCAATATTATTGTTGTGATGATTTTATCATATTGTGTATTGAAAATGGTTAGTGACACAAAAGTAGTTTATTCAACTAAATCACCTTTAATGATGGTAAAAAGCCCACAACATGATCACAATCATGGCATGCTACATTTATAATATACGATAACTCACTTTTTTGCGTGCTTGTTTCCAATGACAATACTAAATATTTTTGTGCTGATAACTACTTGGCTATTAAACGGATCATTAAATACTCAATCAAATAATCAATCAAACAGAATTATCCAGGATTATCAATAATCAAACAGAATTATCAATAATTTGCTATGTTCTGCTTCAGCTTTTCATTGGTAAAACTGCATTGGGTCTTAAACACATTGTATTTAATATTAACTTCTTGCTTGCTGAACTTTTGCATTAAAAATACATCATATTCACACTCTGACATTAACGCTACAGTCAGCAAAACAGCTATTGATCATGTGCTGTAATAAAGAACCAAATCATATCTTGTTTATCTTATAAAGGTATAACAAAAGCTTTATGCATTTATAACTTGAATCATAAGGCAATTCTAAACACATCCCATCATGCTGTGTGTGAATACTTTTAAAGTTATGAGACTATCAAAAGAACAATTAAGTGCAAAAATTCCAAAATCATTAATTCCGTTGTCTCCCTGAGATAAAAAAGTTTAAAAGTAAAACAAAGTATAGTAACACACAACTAATGTTAATGAACATTAGTACATTAATAACTAATATTATGAACAAATGCATATATACAGTACACAATTCCCACTTTTCCCCCCCCAAAAAAATGATAGTGGCATGGGTGTCTCTAGGCTGATTTTTTTTGTACATACTCCCACCTACCCCCACCCTCTCTAACTCTTGTTAAGAATGTTTGTCATATTAAATTTAATAATGATGTGTCTTTTTAAAACCTATTAGAGATAATAATGTCTTAGAAAGTGCCATTATTGAGAATTTATACCCATTTAACCTGATACCCTGGTGCCCTATATGTCCTGCCAGAGGGCATCAGCTCTTTATGGAGAATATGGCCTGGATCACTATCATATAAAACATTTGCTAATACAACACAGTTTCTATTCCTTGTCAAAGAGTATAAAAAATTAATTGCTAGGAGTTAATTAATTCTACAAACTGTCTCGTTTTTCTACCATAGTAAATATGTTGAATCATAATAGAACGGTAATAAGATGAGACTGGTTAATTGGTTAGTCTAGTTTAAGAAAAAAAAAAATCTCATGACTTTGATGTGCATCTAGGAATTTATTCAGTCACTCATTATCGAGAACTTTTCTCTATTTTTTTTCTTTATTTTTATGGTAATCCAAAATGTGCATAAAAATAAGCAGATGTAAACATGGCTATGACCAGGGTTGTCCAAACTCGGTCCTGGAGTGCCGGTGTCCTGCATAGTTTAGCTACAACTTGCTTCAACACACCTGCCAGGAAGATTAGTATAGCTGCATCTCAAATGGCACACAATAAACTATGCACTATGTACTTATGCACTTACACTCAACAGGATAGTATATGTATGTAGTGTTGTCCTAAATGGCACACTAATGTTTTTTTACTAAGCGGAAATTCAACCTGTTTCCCTGATGACGTTTGATGGTTGCCAAATCAGTGAAATAACTGACCAAACTATCAAATAATACCTGCCATGATTATTACTGCATTCACCATCAGGAGGTGCTATAATCACTCTCGTAGGACAATTTTGCTTTTACCATCCAAAATAAATAAAAGTTATCCAACATATCTGCCCTATAGCTCCGCCCCTTCCGCTATGTGAGCAAACCTGCGGTCGTTGAGTACGTGAAGTGTCCATCATTCCATACTTCATTTTACCAGCTAAATGAGTGCATCATCCGGGTTATTAAAGTGCACTTATTATTATTAAAGTCTTCAGTTTGAACGCACTACTTACATTATTTATACTACAAAATGGCATAGAATAGTGCATAAGTATGCGATTCGGGACACAGCTTATATCTAGTAAGAGCTTGATTAGCTGCTTCAGGTGTGTTTTATTAGGGTTGGAGCTAAACTCTTTAGGACACAAGCCCTCCAGGATATAGTTCGGACATCCCTGCTATAAACGAACACCACCGCACACCCCTAGATCATAGAATTGTGAAAGTACAAACTGAAAGAAAAACATTGCACACTTGCATGTTTAGAAATGAGTAACTAACCTGCTGGAAGGCCTCGTTAAGCTGGCCCTGCTGTAGTAGCTGTAATATGCTGGCCTGCTGGGCCTGGTAGTCCAGATGTGCGGATGGGACGGGTGTTCCTGCGGCCGAGCGCATGGCCTGCATGATACTGGAGGTGACGGCGGCCTGCTGCTCCTTCATAGCCAAACTCACCTCTCCCTTCACTATACGCTGCACCTGCGTCAGGATTGAGTCCTGCAGACTGCAGACACAAAACAGAGTTAAAGCCTAAACACATGTGGCAAGAGTCCTTTTTTTACATGAAATATTTAATAATTTAAAGAACTGTCAATGATATTTGTCACTTCTGAATCTGCAGAGGCACTGGGTAGTGGTAGACTGTTAGAGATTGTGTTTTAGATGGCCAATGATGATTATGCTGAAAAAATAATTCAAAAGCAGAATAAAAGGTTTATTCATTTCGAAAGAAGTATTAAATGGGGTTTCCAATCTTTGATGAACTGCAGATTCAAGGACGTTTTAAAGCACTATTGATTTCAAATCAATCAGCTTTGTAATTCACATCGCCACCATATGTAGTGCCTTAAAAGTCCTTACTGTACTTAACGTTTGACACTTAATATTTACATTAAAATATCAGTGTAATGATGATGTTTTGAATGTGTATTTTTCAAAAATTTATACCATTTTAAAAAGTCATGTCATCAAAAGTCATCAATATTGGTAACATTTGCCATATTTCTTGTACAAGATTTAAATTTATTATTTATTTATTTTTTTTATTAAGAAGTTAATTCTGTTTTTAACAGCAGCCCAGTATAATTGTTGGAATGACACCATAAACAAATTTAAATTAAGCACTTTAAGGACTGATGTTTGTTTTTAAAGTTGCTGCATGTATGTTTTTGACCCATCTAAAGCATAAAAATACCCCAATATGTTGGCAGAAATTCAAGAAACATGCCAAGTGAACATTCTTAAATATCTGTAAAACAATGCTGAAGTCAGATATTCTGACTTGAAAATGTGCTTTCCGTGCCAGAATGGCTGTCTTTGTTTTGGTCCCTTTAACCCGCCCAATGCCAGTTTAGACAATTATATTTCAGCGCCTTGGATTGCCTTGTGGCCCGTTTCCACTAAGTGGTTTGGTTGGTACGCTTTTATGGCCGTTTCCACTGTCAAAGGGTACCTAAGAGCGAACCGTACCACTTTTTGGTCAAGCTTTGCAAAGGGTACCAAAAGGTGAAACTAGACGCGCAGCTGAACACTATTGGTTTACAGAGATAAGTTATTTGCTCACACAACAAGCCAGAATGAAAACAAAGGAAGCGCCATGTTTAAAATACATATACATATGTTTAAAATAAATATACATATAATAGCGAGCCATGGTCGACCCGAGCTTAAATAAACCTTGTTGTCGCTTTGATGAACAGCCACAAAGCCAAGAGCAGCAGATTCTACCCTGTGCCCCAAAGTTTTTTACTAGCCAGTCTAAAGCGCAAGCAGTTTTGCTTTCTTGCTTGCGCTCGCGTCTATATTTGAAATGACAAACTTCTTGAGCTGATGATAATGTGCTTTTTGATTATTGACGTGCTTGTGAAAACACGGTCCTTTCAGAAACTGACAGGAGTGATGCACAAAAAAACAATGGAGATGTCGGAAAAAAGGAGCATATTATTTTTTTCAGCAAGTGTGAACAAACTGCCATGTATAACTGTTATCATCACCTTTTAGACTATTATGAACTCGTAATGATGGAAATACTTTCTAACAAGAGGTTACATGCTGCTGAAGATTAAAGACACAGATGAGAAGTTTGCACTGACTGCGGGCTATTTTTCATGTTGTTTTTAAACCTGAATAAGGACTAAATGTATGTTGTGTGTAGTTGGTAACATATCAAAGACTGCAAGGGCGTTTATGTGTTCATACATGTTGTATTTATTTTATATAATTGCAGACATTAAACTAGGCGATTTCACACTGTCATTGATCTGCAGTTAAAATCAAATTATATTCATAGAAAAGTTAGTCATAAACATTTACACAGAAGTATTTGTTTATAAAGCACCTGTTTTGTGTGAAGTGCTTCTCCTATATGTGAAAGACCCGCTCAGCTTTACTGTAGACATTTTTCGATCAAAAATGACATTGACTGAAACTTTCTGTTGTACACCAAGCCAACCAAAAGAGTACCATTGGTACCCTTTTAGCAGTGGAAATGCAAGCCTGATAAAGGTGACCCGTACCATACTCAACCACTCAGTGGAAACTGGCCATTGGTGAAAATCATTCATGGTTATTAATTAGCAAATAATATAAATATTACAAAGATAAACATTAGGTGAGCAGGTTACATTGTAATCCGTTGTCTTAACAACACCCTACGTAAGGAGATTTGCAGTGATAAGCAATTTGGCTGTTTGCACAAGACGAAACACGACAGAAATTGAAATACAGCCATTCAGAAGCACAGAATAGTGCACTTACTGCAGTTCAATGAAACGGTAAGGTTTACAATCTAATTAATACACATTAAACCACTTTAACATTATTAATTGCTAAATCAATGACATGTGTTTGCACACATTGAGTCACAGTTCTAAAGTTTTTTTCCATTTTCAAGCTCCGTTCAAGGTCTGCTGCTGGTTTCGGTAGTATGGCAAAAAATTCTATGTAAAATGGTATTCAACCTCACATTTTTAGCATTTAACTCTGAAAAAGCACATGAGGTGTACCTGAGGTTTCTAAAATATAAATTTCAGGTATTGGTTAGGACAAAAAAATTCCTTTAGTATAAACAATATTCCTTCTATCGTGTGCTGTTGCTCTTATTTAGCAAAACTTAAATCAGCCTTTAGGCTCGATAGTCAGTCAAGCTCCGTTTGATGTCGTCAATCTAGCAACCTGTGCTTGTGTGTTTTAAACAACAATACCTAGTTCCACCACTGGGCATCAAACTTACATACTGCACCTTTAAGCACTTTCCATGCTGTTACAAGTCCATGTATTTATTATTTATTTATTTGTTACTTTGTCGCCCTCTTGTGTTTTGTTGCTGGTTGTGTTTTCATTTAGAGTTGATTTTCTCCGCACCTGCAGACAATTCACTGTCGGCAATTTAAGAGCTCGCGCTGCAGTGATTCAGAGAAAGGGATTTGAGCGGCCGTCCAGACGCGGAGTTGTGCTCCTTTTGTTCTCAGCCTATGTTTATTGTGTTTTCTCCCTACACTTTATTTATATTTGATTGTTTAATTAATAAAACCCCTAGACTGATCCACTTGTGTTTTCCCCTCATTTCATGTTGTGACTGTGGTCGTAACACATGCCTTGAATCCATGTCTGAAATTCAAGTACTTAAGTACTCAAGTACTTAAGACTGTTGGGAACTCGAAATAGTTTACAGCTACTCTTATTACAGACAGCTACTTTTTGCTTTGGAAACGACATTCTTGAAATTAAATATCAGTTTTAAGACGAAAACTGCGTTTAATAAATATAGCAGATAAAACTTATTACTTTGAACATTTTACAGAGTTTTTTTAATTTACAAGTTTTGACCCCTGAAATTGAAGAATTATGACTGGAAAAATGCAAGGTAAACCTTAAAATATTAATCAAATAAAGTATAAATATATCTGTTTTGATTTGAAAACCACAGTGAAAAATTCTCTACTTTTAGAGTTTAATATAACAAACTTTATATTGAAATTGTGTGAGTGGAAAACAAACAAGCTTTATTGACAGAAATTAAACCTGGGATTAGGCAACGTGCCACACATGCCAATCCATTTGCAAGCGACTCAATGCGGAGCACCAAAAAATGCTTTCTCTGCATGAACTCCCAAATCAATCGCTTCCTTCATTAATGCTATAAAGTTTTCCATAAGGGAAGGCATACAAGGGGAAAGAGTATGATTGCTGCATTCCTTCCTTGCATTGATTTCTGGCAAATATGGAGCAGGATTAGTGATGTGTGTGTGTGTGTGTGTGTGTGTGGTGGTGGTAAGCCTTACTTTCCGACAATCATGTGGAGCTGATGCTGGACGTCAGAGCTAACGCTGGCCGTCACAGTAGACGCCAGCTGGTCTTGTGAACTCTGAAGACTGTCAATCATCTGCTGTAACTGGCCAATGACAGGATCCCGTGTATCCTGGTCTCTTTGTTTCCTGTTTTTGATGTGCGTCTCCAACTGCTGGATGTCTGTAGGGGAATGTAAAGCAATGTAATGTAAATACTTAACGCAAAGAAGTTTTGTTAATTAGCTGGCATTACAGATGTGCACAACCGGCCTGAGAGCATATAACAATCTGCCAGATACATTAATACGCTCTGCAGCTTTTTTCCAAAACTGTAAACAAGCACAAACATCAATAAAAAGTCAGATTGGTAGTGAAGTCCATTGTTAGAGATGGGTGATTTTTCCAGATTCCACTGATAAATTATAATGAAAAGCTTTGATTAAATATATATATTTTTTTGTTTTAAATAAAAACATTAGAAATTTTATAATTAGACAATGCATCACAAATACATAAAAAAAAACAGATCACCTGATTAACCACTCAAGCAAGCGTGCTTCATAAAGAACAGTCATAACAAATAAACAAATGTTTGTGCATATAGTTGAGCTGCACGATATAGATTGTTTTCACATTTCCTAGTTTCTCACTAGTAAAAGGCATCATGGTTGGGTGAACTAGGAGCACAGTGAATGGGAGAGTACAACAAATAACTTTACAATCCTATTTGCTGAAATAGTAAGAAAAACTCTACGATGGTGTTATCAAGACTTTTAGGAAAAAAATTGTGTGAGACTGATAAAGGCAGCCAGAGGAAAGAATAACATCTAATGGAGCGTCAATGGGGCTGAAAGTAAATTTGAAACACCTCGCATAAGCGGGAATTCTGTTGAACAAGCGGTTCATTTTTTATTTTTATTTTTTTAATGAAAATATTAAAAACTTTCAAGGATTTAAGATTATGACCGCATCATTACGGTTTTGTGAAAAGGGTCCATTGAAAAAATCTAACATTGCGCTATTTTTATTGTGCGATTTAAATAAAATTTTAACTAAATGTGTTGAATAACTAATTGGAAAGAATTTTTCATTTTAGATTGATTGGGATGATTATGTAGGTGAGCGCATAAAATAGAATAAAAATCTACAAGCGTACATAAATTTAAAAAATAAAGAGAAAAAAGATACTAATTTAATAAACAGAGTTTTATTTAAACAGAGTATTTGAATAATCAGATGTAAAATAATGATGCAAAGTCTTTGTTTTATAAACAATTCGATAGAATTTATCGTTATTAATTTGTCAAAGTTAATAACAGTACAATTTCTTACGCCTAAATGCTTTTAAAACCCTCAAAAAAGTCACAGGCCTCAAAAAACACTTATACAATGATAATTTACAATCCAAACTCAACACTGCATATACTCGCAATGTGACCATTGCGAATTATAATATTGCTATATCAATGCTAAAAAAATATATTGTGCAGCCCTAGTATATACAGATACTTTCATGTGATGTGTTGGAAAATAAAAACTGTTATTCCAGCAAATAATGATTTCTTAACTGAAGTGAATGTTTTGTGAAATATATTGTGTTCCTCATGGCATCTTTTTTGTTATTGTATAAAATGCAAAAAAACTTGAATTTGCGGACACGGTGGTTAAAGAGGTCATCAAATCACTAGCTTACATGACAAAAAAAAACTACAGACAATAGTGCAGTTACTAACTACTACTGTATGTGTGATATTATTATTATTTTTGATAATTATTTTTCAGGGTTTTTGTCTTTTATGAATAGGACCGTAGAGAGAATTGACACAAAAAGTGTGAGGAGCAGAAAGAGGGGACGAATTGGCATAGGACCTCGAGCCGGGAATTGATCTTGGAATTGATCACGGGCAATGTGTGCATCCGCAAGTCACATCGCAGGATCTGCAATGTTGAATTGGGATTATATTTGACCAGGAGCTATAGTTCAGAGAAAGGAGTCATTGGAGATTTTTTACCATAAACAAAGGAGCATATGTTTATCATTTACATGTTTTTAAGGCCTGTGACAGCGATGCAATGGCGCAGTAGGTAGTGCTGTCGCCTCACAGCAATAAGGTCGCTGGTTTAAGCCTCGGCTGGGTCAGTTGGCATTTCTGTGTGGAGTTTGCATGTTCTCCTTGCGTTCGCGTGGGTTTCCTCCTGGTGCTCCGGTTACCCCCACAGTCCAAAGACATGCGGAACAGGTGAATTGGGTAGGCTAAATTGTCCACAGTGTAGGAGTGTGAATGAGTGTGTGTGGATGTTTCCCAGAGATGCGTTGCGGCTGGAAGGCCATCTGCTGCATAAAAACATGCTGGATAAGTTGGCGGTTCATTCCACTGTGGCGACCCCAGATTAATAAATGGACTAAGCCGAAAATGAATGAATGAATAAGGCCTGTGACTGTATGAGGATTTCAAGAGAGTTTAAAGCATTCAGGCACCTAGAATTGCACTAGTTGAAACTTTTAGAAAAAATATTTAATTTATACAATGAAGATGCAAAGTAGAGCTATTTTACGTTTGATTATTCAATTTCTGTACATTAATTCTTACAGAATAGAGCTATTATTAATACTATAAGTCATCTGATGAAATTGCATTGTTTTTTTTTCTGCGATATGAATACAATGTCAGATTTTTTACATATCATGCAACCCTATTTTTAATAAATGGAAAGCAACTCAAATCATGCAGTTATACCTTTATGTTAACTTGTTAAAAAATACTAAGAATTTATGCCCCCTGATTCACTTGAAAAGGTTCTTACATTCGTTGGTTCCCTGTTTGAAGCTGTCATTGATCTGCTGAAACATGGACTGACAGCCTCTCTCAAACACAGGCAGGACAATGCTCTGGAAGGTCTCTTTGTAGGCTGCCTGAATAGGACCCTGCATGGCCTCTGCAGCAGCTCGACCAATGGCATCTGTAGTGTTCTGTGAACAGAAAAACAGGACAAAAACTTACAAGAGTTTTCCTCAGTTTGTGCTTGTTCCAGACTATGCGATGAATTATTTACTGCTACACTGGTGCACAGAAGTTGCTGCACTTCTTTGGACTGCCCAGGTTTTTAAAATTTCTTTAACAGAAACATTCTTTCCAGTTAGAAATGTTTTTTTTTTTTTGTGGACAATAGTAGCATTATTATCAGGTTTGGATAACAATAAAAAAGCGCTACTTAATTGTTGATTTTCGTACAAGCCGCTGACCTTGGACTTAACAACTTTGGTGACGTTTTCTTTGAGTGCTCCTTCTACTGCAGTTAACTTGGCAGCAATGGTGCTGTTCATCTGGCCGGTCACAGGTTCGAGACTCTTCGATATGGCTGCAAAAAACAGAAATAATGTCACAAAGCTCTGCATAAGCCTCAAATCAATAAAAGTCTTCATTTAAACCATTTCACAGACAAAATAAGAACAGAATGTTCTTTGCTGTATTGAACTGTGTGAGAAAAAAAAGCTAAGTTGAGCTCTTAAAAAAGTTCATCACATCAGCACTTACTCTGCGGGACGGTTTTCTTCATTTCTTCACGCAAAACTTTCTCAAGCCGGTTGCAGAGACTGTTGTTCAGAGTTTGGACGAGCTGCTGAACTAGCTGGTCCTGGAGCTGTTGGTTTCGACTTTGACCTTCGACCAGAATTCGCTCCATTCTTCTCTCTGCATCACCAGCTTGTTAAGTTAACACTAAATTGCATGAGCCTAACCAATCCAAAGTTATCCTTCATTCATTTTCTTTTCAGACTAGTGCCTTTATTAACCTGGGGTCGCCACAGACAGCAGAATGAACCGCCAACTTATTCAGCTTATGTTTTACGCAGCGGATGCCCTTCTAGCTGCAACCCATCACTGGGAAACGGAAACATCCATACAAAGTCATTTAAACACACACTATATACACAATTTTAGCTTACCCAATTAACCTATAGCGCATGTCTTTCGACTTGTGAGGGAAACCGGAGCACCTGGAGGAAACCCACACGAACATTGGGAGAACATGTAAACTCCTCGCAGAAATGCCAACTGACCCAGCCAAGGCTCGAACCAGCGACCTTCTTGCTGTTAGGCGATCGTGCTACCCACTGCGCTACTGTGACACCAGTTCTCATTCATTAGTGTATAAATATATTGATGAACAAACCCATGAGGATATATTCAGCTCGCATGCAATTGTGTGCTGAGTTTTATAGATACACAAAAAATATTTTTCCAATTAGCGTTTAATTAAACTGATATTGTTGTAAAGTATAATAGTATAGAGCTAATGCAGTATAATGCAGAGTATAATGTTTATGCCGGGAATAAGTTTATGCTGCCATTAATACTGAATTTAACTTGTAATTTAGCCTGTATATTCTGTAAAAATTACCACCGATTGAAATTTTAAAGGGCTAGTTTTCTAAAAAAAAAAAAAAAAAAAAAAAAAAAAAAAAAAAAAAAAAAAAACTTAATTACATTTTATAAATGAGCCCCCATTACTGAGAGAAGAAAAGAAACTGTTAAATAACGTTGTCATACAAAAGTTCTCATATCTTGATAATACTCCGACTAAAGGCATATGGTGTTTTGAGGATTTTTTTTTTTCTGCACTTTGATCGATTTGACAGCATTGCGGTCTATAAGCTCTAAGATTTAATCTAAAATATCTAAATGTGTGTACAAAAAAAAACTAACAAACAAAGGTCTTAGGGACTTGTAAAAACTTGAGGGTGAGTAATTTATAACAGAATTATTTATGGGTGAACTAACCCTTTAATTTAGCTTATTCCACATTTAATGTAAAAAAAGTATGTGACAGATGCAAGAACTAGGAGCAAAATGTAAATATTACTTTTTAGTTCAGCTATCATGCCAAAAAGAATGATTTCAAGCATACAATATATTAAACAAAATATTCGGTCTTGACTTTTTAGTGACAAATTTTATCTTCACACAACATTAGACCTGAAAATAAGACAATTGTTTTTAAATGTAGTTTTTAGTGCACTATTACTACAATTCCACAATCATGTTGTTTAAACTATATTATAGCAAGCTTATGTGCTAACATTAGACTGAAGCTCACTTTTATACATTACGCATCTACACTCAAAACTACATGTATTCACAAAAATCCTTAATATTATTGTCAGATAAATAAAAAGATAAATGGCTTTTGTAAAAATAACCATGTACTTGTTCAATTTTTTTATTATTAACATAATTGGAGAGTAATAATAGAATTTATATTTTAAATTAATTTCAATTGTTCTTGTTATAACTATTTATTAATAGTTGACGGAGACAAGATGGGTCATAAAAGCGTTAAATATCTATAACTCTATATATCGAATATATATCATATTCATTCATACACATACATAACTAGTTATATACATCAGTCTGTTCACTACTTACACCAGCATGTTCACCGGTTCTGAAAGTGGACGGCTTGCTTACATACAGCAGGCCATAGAAACAGTCTATGTATATAAATACTATCTCTGACTAGCACCTTTGAATCTTTCTCATGCTCATATTGAATTTGCTATAGTGTTCAAGCCAGCCAGAGTCTCCCTCTAGTGGAAGGATACGTTCTTGTTCTTGCTGAGCTAACATGGCATGCTCGATGTGAGCCATCATGGAGCTCTGCACTGCGTCCATGTGGCTAGTGACTCTCTGCAGAAGATCAAGCTGATTCTGTCGGAGCTCTGCGATCTCCCTCTGCTGGCTCCGCAGCATCTGCAGGAGCTCGTCCTGCACCTCTGTGCTCATCTGAAGACACAATAGCACATTCAGTTCTCACCGGACTCCTAGGAATGCTTGAGTGACGGCAAAACAGTTCAAGTAGTATAAACGCTCGTACTGCTGAGCTGGTCATGTTACTCATGTTTTCTGTCGCCGCTGCATTAATGTTTTATTTATATGATGAGTCACACTGACTAGACAGAAAACAAGCATTCATGCATTTTGATTGGTTTATAGCCATACAAATGCATTCAGATGGCGATGCAGAGGATCAACGAACTTACCTGGCTTTCAATCTGTCTAGATTGCGAGGACTCTCTGGGAAGGAAGAAAAGCAAAGATGATTAATAAGATTATATGACAGAACAGACTCCACCGATCCCACATTAAAGAATATAAACATTAATATAAAGAAGATTTCCATAGTAAATGGGGGAGCTCACTCACCCTTCATCTTTCTTGCTCTTCCGCTTGAGCTTAGGGGAGCTTCGGGGTGATGTTTTCCAGTCCTTTACAGGAAGTCTGTGAGAGGAGCGAGGGCCGCAGTTCCCTGAGGACGAGGCCAGACTGGCAACCTCATCGTCATGATCACTGTCAATCACAACAGGTAGAGACAATAGATAATTAAAAAAAGGCTAAACAGCAGCAAATGTATTAATCAAGGCACCACAAAAGTCTTATTAACAAGACATGCCTCCTTATTTGAATATTTAGATTCATTTTATCACAATTTGATGAGTCAGACTTTCTCAGACAGGTTTGGACAAGTTCAGATATGCACACATAATGTAGAGAAACTAAGGCTGCATTTACACTGCATGATTCAAGTGACCCAATTATGATTTTTTTTCTCCTATGTGACACAGATTGGATATTGCCTATGTAAAACAAAATGTAAAAAAATGTATCCATATATATATATATATATAATTTGTGGAGATGTATCTGATTTTAATAGGATCTGTGCCCTTATGTCTGCAGTGTAAGCAGATAGATAAGACTTTCACCAGTCAATTCGAACCGCACGTCATTAAAAAGCGTAGCAAATAACGTCAATTCTGACGCTTTTCAGAACACACTTCAGCAGACACACAAATCTTATATACTAAAACAAAAAAACTGTTATATTGTCATGCAGCACAAGCATGTTATCGGGAAAGAGAAGAGCGTAACATCCACCACGTAAACCATGGGTAACCAACCCTGTTCCTGGAGAGCTACCTTCCTGCAGAATTCAGTCCCAACCCTGATCAAACACACCTGAACCAATTAATATTACCTAAAGCAGCACTTAAAAATTACAAACAGGTGTGTTTGGTCAGGGTTGCAACTAATATCTGCAGGAAGGTAGCTCTCCAGGAACAGGGTTGGTGACCCCTGACGTAAACAATATAAACTACAAACCTATTGCAAATTTTACGAGCAGAATTAGGTGTAAATTTTAAGTAACTTACCCAACACTGATCACGAGCATAAATCACACCATGGAAATTACATTAAGATGGCTATCGGTTTAAAAAAAAAACTAAACTAAAGGAATGTGGCCAAAAAATAACTTTTCTGTCATAAACTACTGTAAAACAACATGTTAAAAAGGATAAAAAATAAATAAAACCCTGCGAACAGATTAAATACAGGAATGGAGAAAAGAGCACTCTTACTATCAGCTGTCAGTCAGTATACGCTATTTTTTTTCTGGTCATTGCAGCTTCGCCGTGTACAGTGTAAACGCAGTCAATCGGATAAGAGTCACTTTTAAAATATTGTGTAAACAGGTCATCAAAAAAGTTGGAGTCACAAAATCTGAATTGACCACAAGGTCTGCAGTGTAAATGCAGCCATAAGGAAAATGAAACAAGTTCTCAGTACATACACACAACAATATAGTATATTGTATAATATACACACCAGAAGTGTAAGAAGTATCAATCGTGAGTGATTTACATATTAAGTTAATGCAAAGATGTGAACAGACATCCTGCGATACGATATGCGCGAATGAGGCACCGCAATGACGAGATTCAAGCCAATGAAGCGGTGCGAGTTGAGTGTTTTGCGCGATTGATCCGCTTAACGTGTGTATCGCATGTTTCGCGTGAAACGTTCGAGTTCAAAAATCTGAACTTCAGCAGACATTCGCGCTGCGTTAACCAATCAGGAACTTGCTCTTGTGGGGGCATGATTATGACATAGCACCTATTGTTGACGTTCCGGGGGAAAATCCTCCTGCCTACAACGACAACATTTGATCAAACTGGCCTTGGCTCAGTCAGAAGCACCGCTGAACGCTTCCATCATCTAGATTAAATTTCAGACACTGCTTCAAATAAATGTACGCTGTTTTTCGGCCTTCATAAAGCACATAAACACAGTTTTTTCTCAATAAAATCCATGTTAGCCATTTAGCAAAGAAGCTACAGTCACATGGCAAACAGAAGCCCTGCCCATGATGCGAATTTGTGTCTGCTCTGAAGTGAATTTGACGCGCCAATAAACCGATAGCTAATAAACTCAAAATGTTCACGAGTCTATTAACGTGTGAATAGCATGGTTTATTAACGCGTTCTACGTCTGGTGTGAACACAGCATTAGGTAAGACTTTTTCTCCTCCTAAAGTATTCCACGTAGATGCATGAAATTTAATCAAAAGGGACAGTGACCATTTTATTTGATTTTTTAAAAGTTTCTTACAAAAAAGAAAACTGTGATAATATTCAACAACATTTAACCGTTTTTTTTAAACAAATAAAAATGCAGTTTTAGAGGCTGATTTCATAAAAATGGTAGCAACAGCTAACTATTGAATGGTTGAAATGAAAATTTAACTTTGAATATCATTAGTTATGCATTTTTACCTGTTCCATGTAATTAATGCAAAATTAATGATCAATTAACCAAAATTTTTTTTTTTTTTTTTAAATATGATCAAACATATTATGTTAAGTCTAAAGTATGCACAGAGGTTGACTCCACATTTAAAATGCTATTCAATTCAGTTCCTACAGAACACCATTGCTCTCTGCAATAAAGCATGTCTCCATTGACAGTACATTCATGTTATGATATACTACATATCATATACACATTATAAGAATCATAATAAAGAAACATTGTAACTTAGAATGTAGTTCCATCCATTTTGTTTTCAGTTAAGAATTCAATTTAGAACAATGGACAGGAAGCTTTTGTAAAACTGCTCCTGCAGGGGGAAAAAAGTAAAAGTTGTGACAGGTTTCCTTTTGAAGACAGCCTCCATGTACTTGATTTAAATTGCTTAAATCACATTGCTGACATACAGCAAAGGTTACACGATCATTCGGACAATTTGACTTAAATCATGTAATGTTACAGCTCCTAATTAATGACCAGTCAACCACTGAGACATTTATTTCACAGTTGCCACTAATGTTAATTTAAATCTTGACCCTGATTTTAGTCCACACACCAGATCTTCTGTTAAAGCTACTAAATTGAAATTCAAGGACTGCAAAGCTTCCTAAAGTGCTTATATAACATGACAAAACAAAAAAATATAAAAGGTTAAGTGCCTCAAAGTTAAGTTTTTCAGATATTGCCCTTCATGCAGTGCGTCATAAAGCTGATTGTAATGTTAAAGGGTTGTCAAGTAGTCAAAAATTTATATTAATAAATAAAAATATATATAAAATAAATAAAAATTTGAGTTGTCAAATTCTAAACTGCCTGAAATGAGTAGTCAGTAATTCAAAGTTTATTGTAGTTCTACAATAAAATGTACATAATGCCAGACTTTGACTAGCTCTCAAATGCTGCAGCTGAGGCCTGGAAGAGTTTGGCTTGTGTTGTGGACATGTCAAGAAAATGTTTAGATCTGAGCTACAGAAAATTTGTAGACTCCAGAATGTAAAGGTTTACCTCTGCTCTGCACTTGCATCTTGACTGTCGTTCTGAGTCAGGTGATATGTGCGTCTATGGTAGGGGGAGGAAATGTGCCTGTCTTTTATTTCCTCCCTAGAGCTGGAAGAAAACAAGCATTATAGTTTTCCACTTTCAAGTATTACAACTGTTTAAAATGTATTATACATAACAAACAGATCATAAAACCTCGAATGATCATTAATAAATGCAAAATAATATTACATTATTATTAAATAAATAATAATAATTATTACTAATATTATTAACAGACAAGTATAAAGTCATAAGTTAGATAAAATTATACTTTGTGTGCATATACAGCTATAAAAACAATTAAGAAACTACTTAAAGATTCTCAGTTTCTTTGAAATTATTAGGAACGTGTTGAAGTAAAATGTCAATATTTCTTAATTTCAAATAAATATTAGCATTGGGAACATTATGTTGTTAAAAATGATTAGTGGGGGCTGTAAACCAAGCTTAGAGAAAAAGCCAGCCTTGTTTTGTTAAGTCAGGTTTATTAATGGTGGATTCCGTTTCATAAATCAAATTCATGATAGTTCAGACTCAGTTCCTCTGGCAAATTATGCTGGGAAATTAGCCTGGCCTGGGGCAGGTTAACTCTCAGGCTAACGCCCTATTCACACGAGGCGTCAGCTTCAACTCTTCCCATTCACTTTGGAATTTGCTCAACTTTAAGTGCCAAAAGAAGCGTCAGCAAATCAGATCGCTGTATGCAAATACACCAGCTCAGACAGTGGCCTATTGCTGACTAATTTCATTGGCTGACTTCAGACATGCCCTCTGTCAAACGTTCACGCTGAAGCCCCTCATGAATGGGGCGCAAGTCTTTATTTCATGCTTAATCGAAGTAATGTTAACATTCACCTGTGGTAATTTAATACCATTTTATTCTACTTAAGCGCCTAATAATGATATTAATAATAAAACAAATAATAATAATAAAAAACTTTATAGTCACTTAATAGTAAATATCTACCCATTTATCTACACACACGCATACACGCACGCACGCACGCACGCACACCTACACCAAATATCTTTAAGAATAGAACAACATGTACATATAAATTCAAACAAGTTATTCCAAATGAATCAAATACAAAATAAATTGGACTGATCTTCAGTATATTTTTGTTAGATTAGTTCCAAATTTTGCTTTGGTACTGAATAATATAATGTATATGGACAAACATATTATTATAAAGCATCCTGTAGAAAATATTAATTTAAACCAGAGATCTGTGAGGGGTGTACTTAGCTATATAAAATCAAAATTATACAAAAAAAAAAAACAATGACAGATATAAAAGTAGGTTACATAAATAAATAGATACTTTCCCGCGGGACATGGGAAACACAAGTGTCAAAGGTAAAGCAGCAAATTGCAGAGTTTTCAGAGCAAATTAAAAATCCCAATGATCCATGCTCGACCATGTTACACGACAGCAACGTGCATGAGCAGTTATCTAGATTATTTAAGCTGAACTCCGATTAGTTAGATAAAATGATCTTCAACTTGCTGTTATGGAACAAATTTAACCATCTGCATTTATTTAAGCTCAATGAAGTCAGGCTTTTGACTTTAACCCCCAATTTTTTAAATGACTTTTATGAAACAGCCCTCTGGTAAGAAACACTATTTTTTAGACCCGTTTCAATCTTGACTTTGTACCTATTGTTCCATGATTATTGTTTTTAATAATTATAATCTACAATTCTGTCATTTGTCATACTACTTTTTTGGTGGTGGATCTCTGTCGTAAATGGGTGGAATCTAAACGGTTTAATAAATGAAAAACAAAGAAAGTAAACCCTAACCAGTGTTTCCTCTAGGATTTTTTCCAGCTGTGGCGGCAGGCCTTTTGCACAGATCTACCTGTGGCGTTATTTCAATGACAAATGTTGTGAGTGCGGTATTACAAGTTGAGATCGCATTTATGTAATACAAACATGCAAATCTCTTTACGTGCACGCTGATTTTATCCGTGCACACTTCTTGCACGCCCCCTCGAATATACGCGGCTGAACAGCAGTTTTTATTGTGAGCTCTCAAATAAACGCTGCTGAAGTGCAATTTAGTGCGTTCATGTAACTAGTTTATATAACATTTATTAGGTCATTTAATATTATTTAACATTAATTATTATTTAGTAACATTTATTAGGTCTTCAACATTTATTAGAACCTGCAGAGCGGCACTGAAGCATCCTGAAGTAAAGTGAAGCGGCTATAAACTCCAGCAAGATAAAGTCATTGTATGCAGAGCCATAGACCTTTATCTATAAATATAATAATGGAAACTGTGTTCATCTTAACTGAAAGCTATGTCGTGTCAGTCAGTTTGTCACTTAAAAGGGGTAAACAAATTACGCACAGCACTACTATGGTTAGAGAAAAGTTTGCGCTGTTATAATTCACTTACCTTTTAATATGTTTTCGTGTGATTATTACCCGCTATAAAAAAAAACGACTGAATGTTTTGAATGAGAAGCTGTAATGTATGAATGTAAAGGATGAATTTTGGTGTGGCGCCCCGCCATGGAAGAACCAATGTAGTGAAAACCATGCTAACATCTGTTTGTTATTACAGTTAAGTTTAAACCGTGGTATCGTGTGGTCTAAAATGAACATATGTCTAAAAAAATTGGCATCTCTTTTGAAAAGTACTAAAAAATACTTTAGAAAAACTGCTAAAATTACTAAAATTGTATTAAATATGAAAAATGTCATCAATTGTTAAATGCATAAGCATAAATAAGACAAAATATACTGTAACATACCCACACAAAAATAAAATTACATATATTATAGTAAAGCACAGGTACTCACCAGTCTCCTAAACCGTTGTCTCGCAGGCTGTTGCGCGTCTCTCGCGTGATATCAGGAGCAGCAGGCCATGCGTGGTTCACACTGCTGTCAGAACAGGATCCTCCGGCTGCTCCGGCGTTTTCCTGTGAGAGAGCAGTCTCCAGCAGGGATGGTGTGTTACTGAGTCTCTGCTCTCCATCCACAGACGCTGCACCCAATTCAAGAGGCAACAAACTGTGCTCAGCGCTGCTCCGGGCCCTTGGAGATAGCAGGTGGAGAATTGATGCGGCTGATGCCATGCTGTCAGAGTGCAGGATGGGGCCCGAATCAGCATTGGCACCGGACAGTCCCCTCTGCAGCGTCTCGGAGGCAATCTCAGGTATGTCCTGGGACATTGCAGTAGAGGCAGATGAGATGACATCCGGTGAGCGAGCTCTTGTTGGAGACGCCTGTGGGACAACCATGGGATCTATTGCCTGGAGATCCAGAGAGAGAGGAGGGTTTGGAGGGGAAACCTGCGGAGGAGGAGATGGGAAATAAGGGAGGGGGAGTCGGTGAGAATAAGGAGCAGCTTCGCAGAGCAGAGAGGCTTCTTGAAGGAGGGATGAAGAAAGAACCAGTGGGGGAGCGAAAGCCTAACCAGATTGGGATTTTAAATGGAAAAGTGGAGATAGAGGGATGCCAGATAAACAGAAGAATTGGTAAATGATTTGGAATCAAATTTGAAGGATTGACAGTTTATATTGTGAGTGAGGAAGTCTGATCAGCTTCTCTGACTATTCCATAAAAAAACCAGATCAAATTTACAACATTCATTAAATGTCACATATATTCAGCGATTATATATGTATATTATTATTAATTTAATTACAACAACAAAAAGACATCATCAGCAATAAATAATACATAAGCTAAAAATCTAAAACAGTTTAGGTTTACTTTTGGTAAAAAAAGTTAGCCTTTCTGAAGGATTCACATTTAAAAATATTTCTTTAAAATCTTTACAGATAAAAATTGTAAAAAATAGGGCATAATAAAAATGTGTTTAACAGTTAGGTTTCTGTTGCTCCTTTTAGTAAATGTTCAGTAAATATAATATTATTATTCAATGGTACACTTGGACAACACTTGCTTATGAAATAACAAAGCTCTTATTTAAAAGTAAAAACATTACTAAACATGCCACTTTTTTGTAACAACAATAAACTCTATTATCACTAACTGAATTAAAGGGATAATTCAAGCAATCTTTTGTATTTAAGTTTACTCAGCCTCTACTGGCACTAAATGCAGATTAAGATTTTTTTTCCTGTGAAACACAACAAAAAATATTTTAAAGAAAGCTGGAAATCAAACCCAAAGGTTTTGGTAAATGGTGAGCCACCTTTTCCTTTTGAGTGAACTATAAATCGAATGCATCCTTGATTAATAACGACATACATTTCAAAAACCATACCCAAACTTTTATAAAGTACTGTGTTGGTACTACAGGGAGTGTGTAAAGTAGTGGTTCTTAACCCTGTTCCTGGAGATCTACCTTTCTGCAGAGTTTAGCTCAGGGGTGTCCAAACTTTTTGGGCCGAGGGCCAGATGCAAAAAAACAAACGTTGTCGCGGGCCAAATTTTACATACATCACACAGACACGCATATATATATATATATATATATATATATATATATATATATATATATATATATATATATATATATATATATATATATATATATATATACAGTTGAAGTCAGAATTGTTAGCCCCCCTAAATTATTAGCCCCCATTTATTTTGTCCCCAATTTCTGTTTAACGGAGAGATTTTTTTCCACACATTTCTAAACATATTAGTTTTAGTAACTCATTTCTAATAACTGATTTATTTTATCTTTGCCATGATGACAGTAAATAATATTTGACTAGATATTTTTAAGACACTTTTATACAGCTTAAAGTGACATTTAAAGGCTTAACTAGGTTAATAAAGTTAACTAGTCAAGTTAAGGTATTAGGCAAGTTATTTTATAACAATGGTTTGTTCTGAAGACTTAAGGGGCTAATAATTTTGACCTTAAAATGGTTCATAAAAAATTTAAACCGCTTTTTATTCTAGTCGAAATAAAACAAAAGTCTTTCTCCAAAAGAAAAAATATTATCAGACATACTGTAAAAATGTCCTTGCTCTGTTAAACATCATTTGGGAAATATTTAAAAAAGAAGAAATAAATCAAAGAGGGGCTAATAATTCAGACTTCAACTGTGTGTAGATAGACAGACAGACAGACAGACAGATAGATAGATAGATAGATCATAACAAGAACTACTGCTTAATTGAATGCATGTAATAGCGACACCCGGTGGTTATTTATTGAATTACGTTCATTTTTGTATAGCGGGCCAGATTCTATTATTATTTATAAAAAGCCTCGTGGGCCACCACAAAACTGATTGCGGGCCGCAGATGGCCCGCGGGCCGTAGTTTGGACACGCCTGGTTTAGCTGCAACCCTGATTAAATGCACCTCTCTTTATTTACCAAATGCTCCTTTAAATCCTACTTAGTTAACTTAGTTGTGTGACCAGGCTTGAAGCGGAACTCTGCAGAAAAGTAGATCTCACCACCTGGTGTAAAGCAACATCTTTCTTACACTGAAACAAAGATAAGACCTACTGAGGCACGCTATATTGCAACATTGAGAATGACATTTCCATTGGTACCTGGATGTTTTCCCCAAGGCCTGAGATGAGGATGGAGTTGGATCTTGGACTGCCTGCATTGGCGAAACTGCTGTTGACACATTCAACAGACATTTTAGGGCTCTGAGTCAGATCATCTCCACCTCTAAAAGAAAAAAAAATATTGCATTTTGATTGCAAGAGATGACAAACGGTATGACATTTTTTGCACATTGTGAAGTTAATATGAGATTTAAAAGATTTAATCAAGTTTTACTATGAAAACATTTAGTTAAATACACCACCTTGCACCGCTGTCTGAGCTGCTCATGGCCGTGACAATGGTCAGACTGCTAGCACTGCTGCCAGGAGAAGCGGGCATCTGAAAAAACAAGAACCATGATGAATGTATTCATCACTGAAGGAACCTAAAGGATGACGCTAAGATAGTAAAAGCTTACAGAGGCGCTGGGTGTCATGAAGGCATCCGGGGTCATGAGTTTGGGCAAGGCTGATGGGGCTGGACTCATGAAGTCAGCGGGACTTGGAAGAGGCAGAATCTTACTCAGGTCATTTTGTGAACCACTATCGCCAGACTCCTTGTCAGAGCTCATTGCCTCCACATTCAGATCAGCCAGCGGGTCAGAAAAACCTGGAAAATTTAAAAACAAAACAAACATTAAAAATACATACATAACCAATAACATGAAAATACTCCTAAATACTTTTTTTGCGGTATTAAAATGTGCAATATATTAAAGTTTAACATTAAAAGTATTTATTAATTAAATTATTTAAGTGTGAAAAAAAAATTCAAAAATTCAAACCACAACCGCAGGTAAAAATATTTTTCGTCATATCCCTTTAGATTCTGCATTGGCAATCTAGGGAACATAAATATAAACATATAAAACTTCATACTCACTGAACCCATCCTGTGATCCAGACTGAGGCATGAAGAGTGAAGAGGAGTCCCCCTGATTGGGCTGAAACCAGATCTGCACATCCTGTAGTGATCTGTGTCATAAGAAGGTTATAACAACATATTAAACGCTACACATTTAAAATTCAAACTTCATGTCAGTAGAGTTGTTGTTAGATAAGAAATTCTCACTTTGTATGCACACAGTAGAGTTTAATCTGAATTCCTGATCTGGACTCAGAGGTTCCCTGGTTTCCTTCTGTGAGAAGATATTAAACCACACAAGAATCATTTGAATGACTCACTTGAACATGAAGCTAACATGAAAACAAAGAGAAAAACCGACCTGCTGTCATGCTTTCGCTTTCTTCTTCAGGAGGAAGGACCTCAGTATGGCGCAGGCGAGCGCGAGAAACATCCTGAACACCAAAGCTGAGCACAGGGTGTGTGAGCAGAAACTCTGAGACTGCAGTGAAACTGGCACGGCCTTTCTCTTGATCCTGCAGCAGCTCCATGACATACAATACCTTCATATCAAACACAAACACACACACCTGAATCAACTGCTAAGAAACCACCAGTGCTTACTTTAAAAACAACCTTGGCCTAAACTCAAAAATCCTATTTAAAAAGCCAAACGCTGCATCTGGCAAACTGTCCATGCCTTTAATTTGCTGTTATACTGCATGCATGACTTTCTATCAAAATACTAGCAACATTTCTGAAATTCCCAAAACATAAGGCAGACCTGCTGTAGAAATCTAAATAAGAAAACCTACAATTCACTGCTTTGTCATTTTGATGTAGTCCGTTTGTCTAAAAAAATTATGCATTTTCTTTTTTGAAGGCCTGTTTTCGTAACCTTTTTACATTATAACACATAACCTATAACACAGTAACAGAGTAAAGACTATATACAGAGAATGTAATCTGCACAAAAATTACTATTAGTTCATTTAAATTAACTCAAAGGCTATAAAACAACAAAAAAGAAACCAAAGAAGAAGGCCATACAATTGCAGTTATTAGTCATTAACATGTATCTGAATTCTGATCACTAATTTAAAGGGTCACGAAACACCAAAACACATTTTTTGAGATGTTGGCAGTCATATGCATGTGCCACATTGCTAAAAACACTATTAGGTCACATATATTTGGCCAACAAGTGAAAAATGGTTGTTTTTGCATTGTTTAGAGCAAATTCGTTAATCTGGCATAAAAAGAGATTTTGAAGCTATGTCACGATAATGAGATCTTTGGGTAAATTCCAGCATGAAAATTGGCTGTCTGTACTGGCCGGTAAAAAGTGACGTTATTGACTTTTAGCACATCTGTTCGTTAATTCATGAGAAAGACTTGGTTCAAACCAATCAGCGTGAAATGTTGAAATCCGGATTTGCCACTTGTCTTCTTTTTAAAAAAAGATGCAGTTCCAGTGGGTGTTGTTTGTCCTGTCACTAAGAATTTGGCAAGTGCGATCAATGTTCTTTGTTCATGTTTATTCAGATGGCAAAGGTAGTTAGTATGGTTAGCAGTAGTCTTTCAGTTTCTAAAGATATACCTTAGACCAGTGGTTCTCAAACTTTTTTCCTCAAGTACCACCTCAAAAAAAAAAAATCTCTCCAAGTACCACCAAAATGAGCAGTATTGAAATACAATAGTAGGCCCAGTAAAGCAGCTACACCTCTGCACACTTAAAAAAAAAAAAAACGTGGCAGATTACCTCAGAAATATAGGCTATATATATATATATATATATATATATATATATATATATGGCATATTATATAGATCGTTTTTGATAATTTTTTTAAATGTGTTTAGCATGTACATGACATATTTCATTCCTCCGAGTACCACTAGAAGGAGGTCTACGTACCACTAGTGGTACACGTACCACAGTTTGAGAACCACTGCCTTAGACAAATGATTTAGTTACTAAGCTTACAGTACTATCACTACAATATTATGAACTGAAAATCCTCCACTTCCATACAGCTCTCAGATACACGGTAAATGTTGCTTTTCAAATCACTGTCTATCTCTGCATCCGTGTTTGTGTTGCCCCTGTGAAAATCAGCTGTAGTGCATGTAATGAAACTCCCCTTTCATGCGAACTCTTCCCTCTTTCACCACTTGACACTCTTACCTAAACAAAGCTGGACTCACCCACTTTCCTGACTTTTTTCAAACTAGAAGTGTGAAAACACCCTGCTTAGAGAGCGGGGTTTCATGGCCCTTTAAAGCATTATCAAAAATGCAAACAGTTTCTATTGAAGAAAGAAAATCCAACATGTTTGGAATGTCATAGCACTGAGTAAGTAAACATGCATTCGGAAACCTAAAAAAAGGGTCTGACCTTCCTTTGAACATCACTAAGATTGAGAACTAATTAAGAGCGAAACATTATATTAATATGCATTCCAGTCTGTAAATGTCTTATATGCTAGCATTTATTCAGATCTTTAAGTTAAAGCATTAACAAAAATGGTTTCTATTGAAGAAAGAAAAATCTAACACATTTGGAATGTCATAGCAGTAAGTAAGAAAAACATAATGAGTCTGACCTTCCTTTGAACATCACTAAGAATGAGAAATTCTGCAGAAAGGTCCAAACTGGCCTTCAGGCTGGGTAGCACACCGCAGTTAAATGGATCTGGAGAAAACCTAGAGCAAACAAATGAATACTCTTATAATATTAATATCAGATCTATTTTATTTCATTAAAGGGTTGGAAAAAACGACTGGGCTTCAACGACCCCAAAATAACACTGATGTTGGCATATCTAACTGATTAATACAGATTCCTCTTATCCTGAACTCTGCATGTTTTCATAAAATTATGAACAGACCTGATGGTTTGTAGGCAGGTCCATGATACTGTGCACCACATCTTCAGCTCCTGGTTCTGATCAGCTCCAGTAATCAGGAAGCGCCAGAATGGAACGCTTTAGAAAAAACAAAAATGGTTTTAAGCATTTGTCTGAGATCTTCAAATTCAAAGACAACTGTACAAGTCAAGACAACTCAAAGACAGATCAAAACTCGGTGTCGGATTATATGATAACTTGAGATGCTGACAAAACCTTTTAATTGTGATCACAGAAGATTAAGTGAACTTGATACTCACTCTGGATCTTGCTTCTTGTGGTTGTCACAAAACAGCAGGCAAGATAGAGGCTGTCCATTATGCGGCTGCCATTCATGCAGGCATCTAGAAAAAGAGCACGGGTATTCATTGATTGGGGGATTTTTTTTTTGATTTGGGGGAAGTTATTTTATGATGGCTCCAGAAAGAAATATATGAGTGTGCTATTCTCCAAAAAAAAAAAAAAAATATATATATATATATATATATATATATATATATATAAATAAATATCACTTAAATTCATGGCTTTTTTTGGTGCTTACACAAAAATTCTAATTATTTGGTTTACAATTTTAACTAATGACCTTTAAATTAAATATTTTGTCAGTTTTGCATAAAGGAAACAAGTACAACCAATGTGACTTTTTAAAGGGATAGTTGACCCAAAGATGATGAAAGCACATGAATGCATACTGACAGAAGGTCAGGTCATGCAGTTTGTTGATATATACTGATGATTGAATTACCAGACCTTGCAATTTCTTGCGACAAAGTCTTGAATGACCTGTGGATGAGCAAATTAACAGAAAATTTCCATTTTTGGGTGAATTATCCCTTTGAATAAACAATAATAATAAAATACTGAATGCAGGATTATATATCTACTACTAATTAACCAATAATCTCATTTATTTTTACCCCTATCAAACTTTATCCATGTTTATACTTACAAGACAAATAACTAAAAACAATTATAACAACAATAAACTGATGTAAGCTTGTAAATAGTAAAGCTTTATTTATTGATTCATTTCTGACATCTAAATATTAAATGTATTACTTATGTTACTACATTTTTAGACATTGGCTATTACTAAACAGCTATTACATTTTGTTATAAATAGGTCAAATCATTTGTTACAATTACTGTCACATATAGAATATGCATTTTATATAGCCTTACATAAGCAAACTTTATTAGACATGTTTTTCCTTGAAAACTAGAGCCAAGAAACGTCTTATATGTTACATTTCAACACGTACCGGGGTTGGTCCTGTCCTTCAATGTAAATTTGCCAAAATTTGACATATCCATCATGACTAGCTGTGGCCAAAACTGTACCATCAGGGGACAGAGCTCCCTCACTAATGCGCTGTTGAAAATAGAAACAAATGTTAAACACCTAATAACTAATTCCCCATTGTAATCACATTAAATCTCAGTTTTAATGACTTAATAAAACACCACAGACACAGCATTAAGTTAAAACCCAGCAGGTCTTACAGCTGCATGCCCTCTAATGGTGATGAAACCCTCTTTCAATTCAGTGGCGTCCACAGGCCATGAGCTGTTATTTGATCGGAGGATGTCGAGGTCCCAAACCTCAGCCTACAATTTCAAGGAAAAATCAAGTTATGAGAGTAACATGGTTACAAACACTTTAAATCTAATAATAAGAAAACATCTAGGAAAGTGTTGAAAGTGTCAAATTCCAGAGAAAATAAAAAACATACTCTGTCTTCATGAAGCAATGCTAATGTCTGACATGCATCCTCCGGGCTCTCGTCATTGTCCTCCGGGATGAAGGGACACCAGATGAGTCTGCGGTTAGAGTTTAGTGGAGTGTCCTCAGGTCTGCGGATGTGAACAATCACTTCGTCTCTGAGAAACATTGGTGTCAAAGAAAAATCATAGCTTGTTGGCTATGCTGACCAATGGTAAAATGTATGTATTCAAGTACTTTATTAAAGCTTTTAATGTTTTTAAGAAAACTTACACATACTTCACTTCTAAAAAGCTTTCATTTAAATAAAAATAAAAGCTACAAAACATATAGCTCTAGATCAGTTTTGTCCAATAGTTTAGCTTCTACCCTAATAAAACAAACCTGAATCAGCTAATCAAGGTCTTACTAGGCATACTAGAAACTTCTAGACAGGCATGTTAAGGCAAGTTGGAGCTAACCATGACAGAGTTTGGACACTGCCATCTTAATTTTTCTTTTTAATCTTAAAAACTGAAACCATTTTATAATAAAAAAGAAACTATAATATTGTTTTGTAGAATAAAAATTGTATGACTACTCTTTCTTAAAAACTTTACAAACCCTTCAGTTTAAAACATAGGCTGCTTGCAGTCTGAAACATAACCCCACAAAATCTTTCTCCACAGCTATGAAGAACAAGCCTTCTCTATTTTATCAGACCTGGGACCATTTCTTTGATTACCTAGGAATCTCTAAGTCTCTAAGACTAAAAGCTTGTCTGTTAAACTCAGCTTGGACAAAAGAAATGTAATTTGCCTTTGGTAAAATAATTTTGTATTTTATGTCATTTTTAATTAATAGTTTATTTATTTAATTACAATTACATTGTACTTATTATTAATTTTATTAATTATTATCATAATTTTTCTTGTGGTGGTCATCAATGTGACATCAATGTAATTTCCCGACATGTTTTTGCACTAAAAAATGTTCAACAAAAATATACTTGGAAAAAAAATTTAAAAATTTAAAATATATATATTTTTTTACAATTTTAATAACTTTTATTTTACAAAAAAAAGAACAATGTAGAATAAAAATGTATCATATTTAACCACAGTTTTTTATTCATGTATTCATGTCAACCTATAAATAAATTAATATTCATTCATTTTCATTTATTTATTTTATATATAATTAAAATTTATATTTAAATGGTAATCTTGAAATGTGCCTTTAAATAAGCACATTTTAGCACAAATGTAACATGTTATAATTAGCCTTTTTTTTTCACTTTAATCCTCAAATCTTAATCTATCCGTCTATAATAATTCCTGTTCAATCTACAGAGGATACTGTATTTTGCTGCTGTGACTTGTAAGCTGCCAAATGAACATGTTTCCGGCTTCGTCCACACATCCCAACAGGGTGGAGTCCAGATGGGCAAAGGCAAGGTCTGTGACAGCTCCGGTGAAGCCCTTCAGCAGAGAGCGCTCTGTAGAGCTCAGGTGCAGCACACGAATCATTGAATGATTGTTTGCACCTGTGGGAACCAAAAACCAGTCATTTGAATCCCATCAACCTTATATTGAAACAAGTGAGTTCAATGAGCTACAAACAAAGACAACGGTAGACTGTAATAAAGTGTGCGAACTGACCTCTGATAGCATAAGCCAAGTACGTGTTGGACACGGCTATTAAATTGCCATAGTAGTACTTGTGCTCCCAGTCATATTTGGCCACTGGCTGAATTTTAACCTGTAAGTAGGTCATGAGGACAAGGTTAAGAATAAATCAATATCCAGTGTTGTTACATATTTTCTACTATTAATTACTAAGACTTTGCCGAGTGTTTGTTTATAAGTCTTTTTACAGAAAAAAATATTCAATATTTCACAGCTAGTTTGTCACTTCCCTTGATTCAAATAATTTCAAATGAGAAAAAAAGCAATATAAAAACTCCTTGATGTTGGCAAGTTATTCATTCCCATAAAAAAACATATGGTTTAATTTACATACCTTGTTGCTTCCACGAGCCTTACTGTCAATACTAGAGTCACGGCTGGACACAATTTCCACAATATTCGCTCTGATTGGGACACAAATGGACCCGTCATCTCCTGAAAGACAGCTGTGGCAAAAAAAAAAAAAAACATTTTTTAAATTAAAACAGAAAGAGGTCTTTTTAAACTGTAAAAATATTTCAAAATATTACTTTTAATGTATTTTTTAAACCACAGAAATGCCTTGCTGAGGATTAAACTAATTAAACATCAAATGAAAACAATGGTTTAGTAAATACGTTTAATGTATATGTACAGAGTTAATGACTCTGAGCAAAAACCTACATGGTCTGTGTGTCCTGTCCATTAAGTTTGTCTGAGTTGTGCACCGTCGGCTCCACCATTGCTGCTCCCATGAGATCGGATCCGAGAACTCCGTTCAGCTCTCCATTGAAAGATGGTTTTCTCTGGCTCTCGACCAAAGACGCTTCTGTAAAATTAAACGACAGACTAAAAACTCCTGACCAGACTCCTACTATGATGAGTTTCTAAAAAATGTGCATCACAATCTGTGCTTTAAAAAATTGTAGATTTTCCATTGTTTTTCTGTGAGTGTTATTATTAGGAATTGTAGAAAAAGCTACCTGCTCCGAACCACAATAAATTAGCTGTGCCACACTTGTAAATGACTGATTTCAGATTAGGCAGGACACAATAACCATTTTCAGGGTGTTCTACGGTTTGGAAAAAGTCAAGGTTTTTAAACTGCTGCTAGGGAAATCTGTGTTTTTGAAACTAATGAAGACAGCAGAAGTCAATGACTTATTTTCATTATTCAGCCTGACATCTTCACTGTTCCAAAATATTTTAAATGTTTCTCAAAATTAGATATATTGTGTTCAAAGGAGATTTTTTTTTTTTTTACCATAATATTTATATCCAAGGTTATCATCCTGGCAGAATCTTATACCGGCCCATGCCTATTTTAGATAATCTGTTAAATCCGTTATTAAATCATCAATTTGTGAATTTGACTGATAAGACTGCACCTGCCCCTCAGTCAATGGCTCACTCATTCCAATCATTAAGTCAGAGTGAATCTAAAGCTAATGATTCAGGGAGTTCACAAATAAGATGAAAATCATATGTACATGTAGGTCACATCTGTCAGTCGTTTAACTAAATCTGCTGTAAAAAGTCAAACTGCTAATCTAAGCTGCCTAATCTATCCATCTATCATAACTCATTCAAAATGCCAAAAAATAGCAAGAACAGCAAGTAGACGAACATATAAAAACAGTGAGGACACATCCTGCCTCAATGACTTTATATTTCTATTTGTAGGTATACTTTAGTTTTTACTCAAATTTTATACTAAGATATGATATATTTTAATATATTTTTTTTTACTTGTTTAGGTTATTAAAATTACAAGAAATTATAAGAAGTTCTTAGTAAAAAATTTAATTAAGGTAATAAAATTCTCTAGCAAAATATATTAAGGTTAGTCAAGGAACAAGTTTTAATACATATACATTGTTTTACTTGAAGACTTTATGCGTGTAGGAATGCAGTATCTATCCATCCATCCACCCAAAGTCATTCAACATGATAAAAAATAGCAGCTAGTAAAAAAACATATAAAAACAGTGAGAACACATCCTGCCTTGATGATTCTATATTTCTATTTGTCAGCATACTTTTGTTTTTACTCAATTTGTATTCTAAGCTATATTGTATACAAGCAATTCTATGCAAATGTTAACCTTTCTATGAAAAACAATTAAGTTCACCAAAACATGCAAATTCTTTCTACGTTTTTTGTAAAGGCGTGTATTTTACAGTACTTTAGACATACTCAAAAATGTCTCTGTCAATGTTTTCAAACAAATATATTTGATTTACTAAAGTCACACAAGTGCCAATTTCACATCTGTCACATCCAAAACGGAGAGATGTCACATCCACAAGACACTTTTTCCTCATAAATGCAAAAATGTCAAATAAAATAAAAGTCAATCATGTTTGTTCTATAGAGAGACACATTTTATCTTATTAATTATCATTATTTCTTTTGGGTTGTCCAAATGAATTCACAGAGATTCTACAAAAGTATGTTGTAGGCTGTAAATTCGCAGACATTTTTGGTCACATTCATAACGCACGTTGATTTACCTCAAAACATGTTTACAGATTGATATTTTTCTGATCACACAACTCTATGGTCAGTTGTTCTGAAAAATATAAACCGATAATTAACTATAATGATAACATACACTATTTATGTAAATTTGTTTTTTTACTGCAAATGTCACATCCATAATGCTGGAATTGCTCATATATAGATTATTTTACTTGTTAATGCTATCAAATTACAATTAATTATCAGTAATTATTGTGCATAGTAATAAGTTCTTAGTGCATACTGATGAATCAAAGTAACAAAATTCTCTAGCAAAATATATTAAGGCTCGTCAAGGAACAAGTAGTTTTAATACATACATACAAATTCAAGTACTTTTGAAAAGTGTAAATGAGTAATAATTTTAGTAAATACATCTAATCTTTAATTTAACTCGAAGACTATCTACATACTAACACACTATTTTACTTATAGGGGTAAAGCTGGTTTTTATATTTGCACATTCATTTAGTGACAGCTTGTGACATTCTCCCTATATTGTTTACTATGGTACATTGAATATTCGGCTTGAAATCACATGCAAGTATGCTTTTAAAACAACATTAGCCCTCTTTATATGACTGTGAACAATGTTGTACTTTAATAGTCACTTGGCTGCTAATATGATTTCGCTATTTAGAGTTTGCAAAGAATATTTTACTAAAATTATATTAATAAAGAAATAGTCGAAATGTGCAAATATAAAACCAACTTTACCTCAATATTTTACTTGTACACCAACTTTACCTCAATATTTTACTTGTAGATGTTAAGTGTACACGAATAGAGTAACTTATTTATGTATCTATCTATGTATCTATCTAACGTTATCTATCTATCTATCTATCTATCTATAAGTGTGTACATACATTATATTGCATAACGTTACACAATGCTTACAAAACCCTAGCAGAAATGCACACATTAAGTTTCAGGTTTTTTTCAGTCAGTCTTTTGGGCACATCTTCGTTTAAAAACATACATTAAATATCTGTTGCCGTCACAGACATAATAAAGTGACAAAAATGAAATACTCTCAACTCTTTTATAATAATTATATTCGTGTCGCAATTAATATCCCAGACTTTCTGTCTGAGCAAAGCTGCAGCTGCGCCAAAACGACTTTAGCCCTTATGTGCTACATTACCCTCTTCCATTTGTTAACAATGTTACACAAAACATAATGTATTTTTCAGTTATGGACTCTTATTGTCGTTGTCCCGCGGTTTGGAGCGAGTTCAGTCAGGTGGCTCGCGCTGAAATCAGGCGCTGCGCAGCATCATCGCGCCGCGGCCTAAAGCTGCTTCCCTCCCCGGCAACTTACCGGCCGAATTTCCCGGACGATCCAGTTTTAGGATGTCCCGAAGGTGCTGGGTCGCACCCTCTATGTCCATGCTGGAACTGGAAGCCATAAAGTAGGGAAGGGGGGAGTAAATCGTTGGAAACTGTCAAATGCTCAATAGTTTAATTCTGTGTCTGAGCTCGCCCCTCATAAAAGCCTGCAACCGTGCCTCCACTTCCGCCGAGCGCTCCCTGCATTTCATTCCCCCACCTCCGCAAGCAGACTTCCTTCAGTTCCGGAGAGAATCACCTCAAAGGCACCACATCACTACTAAATTGCATTTTTAAGACTATATGATTTAAATATTACTGATATTTATACATTTTTACTTACGTATTATTGTTATAAACAATATAATTGTAATGGTTATCAAGAAAATGATAAGAACCCTAAAGAAATAACAATAACATCACACTTTACTTTGATCTCCTTTATTTCCACATAAATGTAGGCAACTGAAGTAGTCTGTTTCTTTATTCACATCGTATTACTGTTGTATTTTTGGGAAAATCAAGTATTTTGCTGTTCCCCTAAAACCTCATTTGAGAGTGGCTTTATCCAGGGTCCAGCAAACATGTTTACAACACATGAATTTGTCCAGCAAAAATATACTGCGAGAAAGTGACTGATGTTCTAGATGTGATATTTCAGTGCAAAAAGCTACGACGCAGAGGACATCTTTTTAAAATATCTGTACATCACTTGGCACAAAGGCCTTCATAGTTTTAGGACTATGATTTTCTAGTCCCAAGCAATGAACAAAGCTCCTTTAGTGTAAACATCTTGAAAATGAAGAGATTGTGATCTCGAAAACTAGTATTTCTGTTATGTTTTAGGCTAATGTGTTTGTGATCCTTCTTGAACGTCAGAATAAAAGCCTCAGTACTGAAGGTAATAACAGCTTTGGCCACACTACAAACCCAATGACATTTACATTCATACAAACTTATGAAGACAGCATCCATTACATTTTGAACATTTCTATGAAGGGAAATACAGGAAATTGAAACCTCAGCTAAACAGAGTGTAAATTAAAGAATTAAAGGCATAGTTCACCCAAAAATTAACATTGACTCGCTATTTACTCACCCTCAAGTTGTTTACGAGTTTATTTCTGATGAACACAAAAGAGGATATTGTGAAGAAAGCTGTACAGGTTTGAAACAAGAAAAAGTAAATACAGTGTGTGCGGCAAGTATTCACAATGCTTCACTTATTCCACATTTTTTGTGTCACAGCCTTATTCCAAAATGGATTAATGTATTTTCTCAAAATTCTGCGCATAATACCCCATAATGATAATGTGAAAATAGATTTTTGTAATTGTTACAAATTTATTAAAAATAAAAAAGCTAAGAGAGAGAGAGAGAACCTTACATAAGGACAACCATCTGTGCAGCAATCCACCAATCAGGCCTGTATGGTAGAGTGGCCAGACGGAAGCCATCCCCACCTGGAATTTGCCAAAAGGCATCTGAAGGACTCACAGACCATAAGAAACAAAATTCCCTGGTCTGATGAGACTAAACTTGAACTCTTTGGAGTGAATGCCAGGCGTTACGTTTGAAGAAAACCAGGCACCACTTATCACCAGGCTAATACCATCCCTACAGTGAAGCATGGTGGTGGCAGCATCATGCTTTTTTTGATGTTTTTCAGCAGCAGGAACTGGAAGACTAGTCAGGATAGAGGGAAAGATGAATGCAGCAATGTGAGACATTCTGAATGAAAACCTGCTTCATTCTGACATCAGACTGGGGCGGCTATTCATCTTCCAGGACAATGACCCAAAGCACATCGCCAAAATATCAATGGAGTGGATTCATAACAACTCGGTGAATGTCCTTGAGTGGCCCAACAAGAGCCCAGACCTAAATCCTATTGAACACCTCTGGAGAGATCTGAAAATGGCTAAACACCGTTGCTTCCTGTCCAACCTGATAGAGCTTGAGAGGTACTGCAAAGAGGAATAGGCAAAAATTCCCAAAGACAGGAGTGCCAAGCTTGCAGCATCATATTCAAAAAGACTTGAGGCTGTAATTGCTGCCAAGGGTGCATCAACAAAGTATTGAGCAAAGACTGTGAATACTTCTGTACATGTGAGTTTTCAGTTTTTTTTGTTTTTTTTTATAAATTTGCAACAATTTCAAAAAATCTTTTTTCACATTGTCATTATGTAGTATTGTGTGTAGAATTGGGAGGAAATAAATTAATTTAATCCATTTTGAAATAAGGCTGTAACATAAAAAAATATGGAAAAAGTGAAGAGCTATGAATACTTTCCCGACGCACTGTAATGAAAGAATTTTCATTTTTGGGTGAACTTTCCCTTTAAATCACAGGGAAGATTCATAAGGACTCAATTTCAACCATGATTCAACTGACTGATGTTTAGACTGACCGATCATTAGAAAATACTTACAATTTTTCCTTTTTCTAACATGTGCATCAATTATTGATGCTACCATGTTTAAATTTAAGGTTAAATCATTAAAAAAACTAATTATTACATGTACTCCTTTGCTGATCAGCATTTGATCTGTTCTGTCAGATAAGCCAACACACTTATTTTACTCTAGACAACTATTTCAGGAAACACTGGCCATCTAAATTAAGAAAACAAAAGAGCAACAGGATTTTCTGCTCTGCTCAAGCAGATCTATAAACTTCACAATAGAATAATCTGTGAAGCAGTATCAAAAACATGAACAGGCAAGCACAGTGGAGGGAAAAAAGGCAGACAGGGGGATGAACAAGATGATGACGTTGTTAAGAAAAAGTCAAAGGTTTTATTGTGTATCGTGGCTTGGTAATTATTGTCACAGAGAGCAGTGAGCAGAAAGTGGGAAGCACACTGGTCTGAGGGGGAAAGGGGATATTAGGATGCTGTTCTTTGGATAGCTAGAGCAACCTGACATCACATTGTATGGAGACTCCAATTTTTCATGTGGGGCGAAAACAAAAACAGAGAAACTTTCCAGGAGCATATTCTTAAAACAAGCTGATAACACACTCTGTACTAAAGCAAAGAGAGACAGTAAGACGGTTGTTATTTCAAAAAAGTCAAAATCTGCAACTAAAATGTAAATATCAAAAAGCCGAGGTTAGGTTAATAGGTTTCTGTCCTGGTCAGGGCGTCCTCTGGTACTTAAGCTCTCCATCATCATGCAGGTGGGCGAAGGAAAAGGGGGTCCGTTTGATGGCTGTGTGGGCTTTCAGCAAAGAAACATGTCTTTTTCTGGAGTAGAGGCAGTACTGTATATGCCTGCATGTTTTCTGTGATTGACTGCTGTAATCCGGTGCTGTTTCTCTTGAGTGTGATGAATGAAGGGCCGATTGACAGGTTCGGGCGTCATCAGAGAAGAACCCCCATCCTCCACCTTCCCTCCTGATAGCCATGGAGCGTTTTAACCGAAATTGTGCAGCGCCAGGCGGAACATGTCATTGGTGCAAACCCACGCCTCGTTAATGTTCTTCAGGATGAAGCTCTGATGGAATCCCATAATGGGGTCATCGTCTGCCTAGACCAAGCAGAAACAGAGGAGACTTTAGGGGAGGCTATCGTTTACAGTGAAACACTTTATTAGCAAGAAGAACAATCTTGACACCAATAATTTACTAAAACATGCACATTTTCAAGATGTGTTTAGCAGGTTTCAAGGCATATTATCAGGATAGTTCACCAAAAAATTAGGTGACAAAAATGTAGGTGAAGTTTTTTTTCTTTAGAAGTACATTAAAGATTTTGGCTAAAAGCTTGCATTTTATGAATTACCAAAAACCTGTTTCAGCAAAAATTTTTAATAATTAGTAAAAAAAAAAAAAAAAAAAAAAAAACAACGCACATTTTCTGTATAACTTGACGGCAAATTAATTACAGAACATTTTTAGATGGAACTATCCATTTTATACAGTAACAGAAAGATACAAGTTGCATCAAGCGAATAGGAAGATAATGAAGGCTAAAAGTTTGCCACAGTACTCTTAACTATTTATCAATCTTCTAAATAACACTTAAGTTAAATTGGAAGCACTAATACTCAGGATGTGTTGTTGTCACTCGGCAGGTTTGGTTTGATTAAAACACTGTAAACATTCCCATCACAATCCTGGTGCCAACAAACTCGATGTAGTTCAACTGAAATTTGAAGACAACACTGACAAATACATCTACACAAACCAAACCTCAACACAAAACATAACTTCACAGGATGAAACAACACTACAAACAGCTTGATTTGATGACACGGAAACAGCCGAGTAGCTAAAATAAAATGAGTGAAAATGTTGAACCAGGTGGAGACTTTAAGTTTCAGGGTTTATACACATTTTTACTATTAAAATTTCATGATTTTTCCATAATTTTTTCATGACTTTCAAGTAAATTTTCATAACCTAATGTTTTATGTAATGTCTTCATATGCGTGGTAAAAAAACAATACATGGTAAAATCTATTACAGCATATCGTAAAACACACAACAATCTATTTAGTTTTAGGTTAATTTATATCTATGTAAAATTGATTTAGATAATGCTTACACAGCACTAATAATGTGAGAGTAAGTGATTGGCCGAGGACAGAAAAGTAGTAAAGACAACTAATCTATATTCAAGTATACAGATATCTGTTTTCCATGATGTTTCCAAAACTTTGTGCGTTTTTATAATTTTCCAAAAATTTTCCAGGCCTGGAAAATGCCATGTCAATATTCCATAACTTTTCCAGGTTTTCTGCTTGCAATTCAAGCTTACAATTAAATTACACATTAGGTATAACCAATACAATTAAACAACTGTCTATTTAGTTTCATTTTTAAACATTCAAATCACAAAGTCTGCAGAAACTGACGTCTGGTCCGAGCTCTTTCCCAGAGAATCATCAGTCTATAGCGATTGATGATTGGCTACTGTACTAGAAGGCGGGGCTTTAATCACCATATTGACGTTACACAAAACCATACGAGTGACACTTCTTGTGTATTCTAGTCTTTGGTTTTGCATATTTAAAAAATACCAAAATAACAGACAAGAATACTCAGATGTTTAAAATGTTAATACGTTTAAGTAGGTTCAGTGTGGGTCTGAAAAGGTTGTGCTTATATACTGATTAAACATATGAGAACCAGCGACGTCAACAGAACATAAAAATTTAAATTTAAATGTTAAAAAAGCAAATGTAAACACTCAGGTGCTGTTACCACTAGTGTGTTTTCATTTTAAAAGGCTTTTTTATTGTTATGCCTGGCGTTCACACTACACTACCTAACAAAAGTCTTGTTGCTGATCCCAGTTGTAAAAAAAAAAAAAAAATTAACTTGACTTCTAGTATGGGGACGTGTGAGAGATCAGCAGAGTGGATGGCAACATCAACAACCTGAGGTATCAAGACATTTGTGCTGCCCATTACATTACAAACCACAGGAGAGTTCATTAAGTTCTTCAGCAGGATAGCGCTTCTCCTCATACTTCAGCATCCACATTCAAGTAGCTGAAAGCAAAGAGGGTCAAGCTGCACTAGGATGGCCAGCCCAGTCACCAGACAAGAACATTATTGAGCATGTCTGGGGTAAAATGAAGGAGGCATTGAAGATGAATCGAAAGACTTTTGATGAACTCTGAGAGACCTGCTAGAAAGCTTTCTTTGCCATTCCAGATGACTTTATTAATAAGTTATTTGAGTGTTTGCAGAGATGTATGGATGCAGTCCTCCAAGATCATGGGGAGTCAAACACAATATTCATTCTTTTCTCACTGCACCATGACTTTATATTTTATACTGTACATAATTTCTGTTAAGTGTTGACTGTTGTCTAAGCAAAGTCAGACCTTACTGTCCTAATTAAATAATTAAAAATCAAGGCATGATCATATTTTATTTTGGTAAAATAAGTTTAATCTAGAGGTCTTTGCTTTCCATTTAAGCCACTTCTGATACCAAATGATCAACTAAAAGTCAAGTTATTATTTGTTGTTTCTAAAACTTGGATAGGAGGCGACTTTTGTCAGGTAGTGTACTCCACCAACTTCAACCCACGAAAAACAAAGTTTTAAAACGCTTAAGAGTTTGGAAAACTAGTTTGTTAAAGTGTTTGGTGTTCTGTTTTAGTACAGACAGACTAAAGCCTGGTTTATACTTCTGCGCTAAGTGACCGCCGTAACCCACGGCGCATGCAACGCGTGTTGCTGTGCATTTATACTTCTGCGCGCTGTCTCTGTTGGTCTGAATTAACAATTCCGAAACACTAGTAGGCAGTGAGGTGTTAATGTTCCTCTGTGTCGAGTTTCTTCTCTGCTGTTTTGCATTT